TGTACCTCTTTGCACTTTCCCGGCAGTACTGAGGAATTCATTGTCCTCAAGTCAAACCTTGACACGTGTGAAGGTTGATTTGGTCAGTCATGTGTGTCCACCACTTTCTCATTTGCTTATTTGCATATACAGCATGTCCCTGGTTCTTCAGACAGACTGTGAATTTGTAAGGATCTGATCCTCCATTCTTTTGGCCTTCCACTTTTGCTTTTCTTTCTTTATTCCTCTCTTTTTCATTAAATGTTTTTAATGCTGGAATTATCAAATCAGGATTTTGACACTGTCAGTGGGAATAAGGATAGCAAATTAGATTTTCCCATGCAAAGGTATTATTACTGCCCTTTGTTATTACCAAAACAGACCAACCTCACGGCCATGGAGTCAGATCTGACTCATAATAGCCCCTCCTTAGGTTTCTGAAGTGGTATCACTACAGAAGTAGATTGCCCAATCTTCCTTCCAAGGAGTGGCTGGTGGGTTTGAACCACCACCCTTCTGGTTAGTAGTGAAATGCCTTAGGCACTAGGCTACCAGAGCTCCTCCTTTGTTTTTGTTGTTGTTGCTGTTATGTGCTGTCAAGTTGCCCCGACTCATAGCGACCCCTCCTTGGGTTGCCAAGGCAGTATCACTACGGAAGTAGATTGCCCAACCTACCTTCCGAGGAGTAGCTGGTGGGTTTGAACCGCCGGCCTTCTGGTTAGCAGTCAAGTGCCTTGTACTATGCCACCAGAGCTCCCCCTCCTTTGTTTTTAGTAGTCCTAAAATGTGTAAAATGTCTTTCATTGTTTTAGCTTTGTTTCTCACTTGGTAATTTACTTTCTCTAAATCTTGAGACCTATTTTAGTAGTTTATGCTTAAGGATATTTCGCTGTTTTTATTTTGTCTTTTGAAGAATTTCAAGCTAAAAGATTACTTTGACAAATATTTTTTAACAAATAAATGACCTTTAATAATCTGACAAATTATTGAATGAATAAGTTGTATTCATTGTGCTCAAATGAATAAAATAGTCACGTTCTTTCTTTGGTGGCTGTTGAGTACAGTGTTTTCTGTAATTTGTTCACAGAACTGCTGAGATTTTGTAAACAGAAGGAAGAAGGTTGATCTCAGCTGTCTGAGTATAGTACCGAAGATTTTCAAAGATAAATGTGGTAGGCTATGTAACTTTTAATAACTCAAAATATCTTGAAGATTTTAAGCAGTAAGACTTTTTTTAATAAAATTTTGCTTATTTTAAAAGGTGCCCCTGAAGTTAATTGCTTAAGTAACTCCCAGACTGTTATTAAATATTTATTTTACCTTCCTCCAACTTGACTCTGAGATGTAACTAACATGAATTGAGTAGCGTTTTTATGATTCTTTATCATTTTAAAAGTCTTTTTACATATATTGTCTAATTTGTTCCTCAAATTCTATAAAGTAAGTTAAACAGGTAATAATAATATTCTCATTTAAAAAATAACTTGCCCCATAGGGCACAGCTGGTAAGAGACAGAATTGGCATTCAAGGATATCTTTATTGTTTTTACTTTTTACTATGAATAATTTTTAATATGTAATAATAGAATAATGTTATAAATTCTCATATATCCATTATTTAAGTGGGTATAAACAATGTTAGTTGTTTATATTTGCTTGTTTTGTTTTGTTTTGTTTTGCTATTGATGTAAAGCAAATCCCAGACATTTGGACTTTCATTCTTCAATACATTACTTAATATACATCTATAAAATTTTTTTTTTAAATACTCACAATACCATTGAAAATACCAAATAAAATTAGCAATAATTAATTTATATCACCTAATATCCAAATTTAATTCAAATTTCTTTGTCACCCAAAAAATGACTTTTTAAAGTTAATCTGTTGAGTCAGGGTCCATACAGGACATCAGTTGTTCTCTCATTTAAGTTACTTTTGATGTAGCACAGGACCTCCCACCTCTATTTTGCTTTCCAAGTTTTGGCTTGTTGAAGAGACCAAAAGCCAGGTCACTGGGTTTTAAATTCAGTGTTCCTTCAGTTCTACAAAGCTGCCTCAAACAAAAATTTTAGATGCAGAATAACTTACTAAATAAATACACAAATAAGTAAAAGACAACTTTAAAAGTGGATTTCTTTTTTTTTTAATTTAAAGAGAAGACAGTTTGTTGTAATTGAATATTGCTACAACAGTTAATTTCATAAACAACTTTAATATCAAAACATCCAAAATAATATGTCCTTATGACTCTTTTGCTTATGTAACATTTTTGTTATATGCAATTATAATAATGAGGATAGGCAAGTGGAAATCTTATGTTTTTGTTATATGCAATTATAATACTTAGGATAGACAAGTGAAAATCTTAGTCTATGTCAATAAAATAGGTTTAATCCAATTTTTCTTTTTATCTGATTGGGAGCTCTGATGGCATAGTGCCTAAGGCATTTGACTGCTAACCAGAAGACTTGTGGTTCAAACACACCAGCACTCCTTGGAAGGAAGACTGGGCAATCTACTTCCACAAAGATACCGCCTCAGAAACCCAAGGAGGGGTCGCTATGAGGAAAAATATAAATGATGAATCTTAATTTTGTTACATGCTCTGATGCACATCAGAACATTTGTTGTTTGCAAATACTTCACCATTTTTATTGCTCTTGCCAATGAATAATTACTAGATATTTATATAGTATCAACAGTAATAAAGGAGCTCTCGTGGCACAGTGGATAAGGTATTTGGCTGCTAACCAGAAGTTGGTGGTTCAAACCCACCAGCTACTCCACAGAGGGAAGATGGGGGAGTTTACTTCCATAGAGATTTACCACCTCAGAACCCAATGGACAGTAGACTAGATGGCAGTGAGTTTGGCTTGGTTTTTTGGTATCAACAGTAATAGTAATTTTTTCTTTTTAATTATGTCCCATCTTTGTGTGTCTCTCGTGACTCCATAATCTAGCTCAGTGTTTTACAGCACTTACTCTAGACTTGATTGCTAAACTAGTTAAATCCCCAGCTTCTAGGAATGAAGATTTAAGGAGAGGGTAGAAAAAAGAGCTGAAAGTTTCCTTGGCAAGAGGGTAGTAGAGATGGGAGCAGTCACAGAGTAGGGACTTTTGCAATGGGGTCTAAAGCCTAGCCTAGCAGGCAGGGAGATAGTTTGACTGGCTCATCTGGAAGTACTTAACTTTTTTTTTTTTTTTTAAACCATCATTTTCACTGAGAGACATTAAAGTCATCCCATGAGGATGCATTGCTGTTATTTTGTTAACCAGTCCTGACAGAATGAACTTTAATCTATTTGATTATAGTCACCTAACTTTTTCATCTCTGTACCTGCAATAGCCTTGTAGGTTATCTTTCAAGGAAATGTATCTAGTGAAAGATAATAATATATCTGGGTGCAGTAATTTGGCCAGTTTAAATCTTTGTTGCTGTAATTAGCTGCTTCCTTGGTGGGCTGACTACACAGCTTCCCTTTGAGAGACAAGGAATATGGGTGAATGAGAAGGCACGTTCTTTCCAGATGATGAGCTGCACCATCCGTTTGTTATTCATTGTTCAATGAAGGATTTAAGGATAAAACATATGAATCTGCTAGGTAAAAGTAATTCTCTAGCTTTTTCTAACAATGTGTAGAGTTCTGGTTCCCTAAAACAGAGTAAGAATTATTTCCAGAGTTGTCTTTGGTTTTCATAACAAGTTTATCTGAATTCTTACCTCATAATAGAGTAAATGAAAGAGATTAGATGAAACTCCAAAAATGCTTTTTAAAAGCTTCTCAAATTAAAAAATAAAATTAATTGCATATAAACTAATTTAGCTTTTTGGCTCTTCTGAAATCCATTGGTTAAAGTATGTTCTTTAATGTACCAAATATAATGAAGTTATAACTAACTGTGCCCTTTCATTTGAAAGGCAGGTACTTCTCCTCTGCCCCCTCCCACTCAAGGGGAACAATTTCAGAATAAAGGAAATATGTGAAAATAGTCTGTTACTGAGGAAAATCGTTTGTATAATTGCACATCTCAGCCCATTTCTTAAAATTAATTGATTATGTCCTGTTTGTTTTTTTGTCTATCTCTGATATTAAGAAAATACAGTATGGAAGCTGTTTGTGTACATAGTTTACTATTGTCTTAGCTATCTAGGGCTGCTATGACAGAAATACCACAAGTAGATGGATTTGACAAACAAATTTATTCTCTCATAGTTTAATAATCTAGAAGTCCAGGGTGTCAGCTCTAGAGGAAAGCTTTCTCTCTGTCCATTCACAATTTAGGAGGAAGATCCTCGTCTTTTTGAAGATCTGTGGGTTCAGCATCCCTTGGAGATCTCCATGTGTCTTGGCATCATTTTTTTCCTAGGTGTAGGAGGTCTCAGTGCAGAGAACTTTGGGTTCAAAGGTTCCAAGGATTCATTCAGCTCCTGGCTCTTCTTTCATGGTGGTAGTCACGTCCCTCCTTCTCTGCTCCCTTCTCTCTCCTTTTATCTCTTGTAAAATAAAAGGTGATGCAGGCCGCACTCCAGGGAATTTCCCCCCTGTATCAGATCAAGGCTGTAAACTGAGTAAGGATATTTCAGCCCACCCTAATCCCCTTCATAGTGATTGGCTGATCATTTCAGGTAACACCATAGAGGATGATTACATCATTATATAAATGCCAAACTGAGACTCATGGCCCAGCCAAGTTGACACATATTTTGGGGGAACACAATTCAGTCCATGACAACTATCATACAGAATTGGTAGAATCTCACTTGGTAATAACCGAAGTGGTTACTCATTTCTGTATTTTACAACCTAATCACCTGTGTAAGAACAGCCCCATTTTCAAGAGTCTGATAATGTCCTATAACTTGATGGAAGTAGTTATATCAATGGTTCGGGAAATACAAATGGCCTTTTCCTCACTCCTCCTTAGATGTGTCAGTGCTGTTAAGGGCATTAGCAAGAGAAGCAGAGACAATTGTATTTTAAGCCTTATTGATTTATGCTTCCCCTGTTTTCTTTCAGGTGGATCATCCATGCTATGAAGTATGAGCTACAGATCCGTGGTGGCGACAAGCCAGCCATAGACTTATATCAGCTGTCACCCAGTGAAGTTAAACAACTTCTGCTGGATATTCTCCAGCCGCAACAGAATGGAAGGTAATGTTATTTCTAAGGCACTCTGGATTTAGAGGAATATCATAATTTTTTAGCTTCATATATATGTAAAATTAATAAGATATTAATAAGAAATAAGCCTTAGCAGAGTTTCAGAGGCCAATCTTTTAAGATATAGTAGAGAAAGATTTTTTTCTTCATGTTCATTATTCTGTGAAAGGAGCTCTGGTGGCACAATGCCTGAGGCATTTGGTTGCTAACCACAAGGTTGGCAGTTCACAGCCACCAGCCACTCTGCAGAAGGACAATGGGGCAATATACTTCCATAAAGATTTACCACCTCAGAAACCCAGTGGGGGTCGCTATGAGTCCGAATCAACTCATTGGCAGTGATTGGTTTATTATTCTGTGAAGAATGTAGCACATCAATTTGGAAGGCTCAGTTCCCTTCCAAACCTGTGTAGTACTCACCATCTCCCAACATTTTACCATAAGGGGATGAGTTTTGTTATTTAAATATGTTGCCTATGACTCTGTCTCCCTAAATAGACCATAAGCTTCTTCAGGGCTAAACTCCTACTTAGACTTAACTCATGTGAACCTTAGAATAAGAGCAGAAGAAATAGTTCTAGAATCACATAATTTTTTTATTATTACAAAAAGAGCTTTAATATAATTATTTAGGCAAATATTTATCAAGCACTATTTGTGTGCCTGGCATTTTCCAAGCAAATAGTTATATTCCAAGAAAAGAAGTCTCCTACAAAAGTGTATTTGAGCAAATAGGAGGACATCCTTGTGCTTAGATAGGAGCACTCAGTATTATAACGATGTCAGTTATAAATTTAGTGCAATTAAAATTAAATGCTAAATTTTATTAAAATTCTAAGAACCTCTTTTATGAAGTTAGACAAGTAGATTCTAAACTTCATTTGGAAAAACAAACGTGTAAGAATAACCAGAAAAGCCTAAGAAAAGGACTTTCCTCAACAGACATTAAAGCTTACTATAAAGGAGCATGGATGGGAAGGCTGGTGCAGGCCTGGGCGGTGTTTCAACCCACCAGCTGCTCCGCAGGAGAAAGATAAGGCAGCATGCTTCTGTAAAGGTTTACAGCCTTGGAAACCCTATGGGCTACTCTACTCTGTCCTAAAGAATCGCTATGAGTCAGAATCAGCTGAATGGTGGGACAAAGGTTTGATAATTCAAACAGTGTGGTGCTGGTGCATGAATAGACAAGAAGACAGGTGGAACAGATAAGCTTAGAAATAGGCCTATGAGTGTATGGAAATTTAGTATATGATAAAAGTTGCATCCCAAGTGACTGAGTAAAGAAGGCACTTTTAAAATAAACAGTGCTGGGACAACTGGGTGGCCATTTGAAAAAATAATAAACTCATCCATACACAAGAATAAATTCCAACTAGATTAGGGATCTAAATGTAAAAAAGAAGCCAAACAAATCTTAAAAAAAAAAAAAGAATAAAATCCTTTTTAACTCTGGTGTGAAGAAAGGCTTTTCAACTCAAAATCCAGAGCCAATAAAAGAAAAAATAAGATGATATAAAACTTGAATTTTTTTAAAAAATTCCGTGGAAAAAAATATATAAACAACATTAAAGACAACTTATAATAGAGATAAAACACATGCCATAGATAGAGGTCTAATACCCAATAATTCTTAAAATTTAAGGGATGTTATTTGTTGTTATGTGCCATTGAGTCGGACCCAACTCATAGCAACCCCTCCTTGGGTTTCCAAGGCAGTATCACTACAGATAGTAGATTGTCCATCTTTCTTCCATGGACTGGCTGGTGGGTTTGAACTGCCAACCTTCTGGTTAGCAGTCAGTTGCCTTAGGCACTAAGCTACAGGAGCTCCCAATTTAAGAGATAAAGAACCAAAACCTAAGAGAATAATGGGGGAAGGTCATGACTAGTCAATTCATTTAAAAGATACAAACAGTTTTAGACAATTAAAAAGCTGTTCAGCCTTACTCATAATTAGAGAAATGTAAATTAAAAAAAAAAAAAAAAACTTATCAGATACCGTTTCTCACATATCAAAGGGCAAAAGTTAAAAAGTATGACAAACACTAGGTGAGGCTGTGAAGAAGTAACAACACAACAATGCAACACACTGCCATTGAGTTGGAGCCGACTCATAGCCACCCCTCCTTGGGTTTCCAAGGTAGTATCACTATGGAAGTAGATTGCTCAACCTTCCTTCTGAGGAGTGACTGATGGGGTTGAACTGCCAGCCTTCTGGTTAGCAGTCAAGTGCCTTAGGCACTATGCTACCAGAGCTCCTGTGGGGAAGTAGGCACTCTTATATATAAACTGATGGGTACAACTGTTCTGGAGAGGAGTTTGACACATCTGAAAAAATCTACATATGTACTTACTTTTTGACACAGCAGTCCTACTTTAAAGAACTTACCCTGAAGATATACTTCCAACTGTATGTATGTGTGTGTGTGTGTGTGTGTGTATGTATATATGGAGCACTAGCATAGTAGCTAAAGCACTTGACTGCTAACCAGAAGGTTGGCGGTTCAAACCCACCAGCCACTCCTCAGAAGGAAGGTTGGGCAATCCTACTTCCGTAGTGATACTACCTCGGAAACCCAAGGAGGGGTCGCTATGAGTCGGGGCCGACTCGACGGCACATAACAACAACAACAAGTTGGCATAGTACCTAAGGCATTTAACTGCTAACCTAAAGGTTGGCAGTTCAAACCCACCAGCCACTCCATGGAAGAAAGATGGAGCAATCTACTTCTGTAAAGATTTATTGCTTTGGAAACTCAAAGGGGGTTGCTATGAGTCAAAATCGACTCAGTGGCAGTGAGTTTGCTTTTTCAGTTTTATGTATACACACACACACACATACATATGTGTATATATGTATATGTGTGTATATGTATATATGTATGTATATAAGTATGTATATATGTGTGTATATGTGTTTGTATGTGTGTGTGTATGTATGTATATGTATGTGTTTATATACACACACAGACATATCACCTGGTCTGTCACTTTGTTGTATTGTGGTGGCTTTCCTGTTGCTGTGTGCTGTAAGGTATGCCGCCAGTATTTATAATACCAGCAGGGTCATCCAGAGTGGACAGGTTGCAGCAGAGCTTCCAGAGTAAGACAAACTAGGAAGAGGGAAGAGGCACTCCACTTCTGAAAAACTTAGCTATAGAAAACCGTATGAATAGAAGTGAAGCATTGTCTCATATAGTGCCGGAAGATGACCCCCTCAGGTTGGAAGACACTCACTATATGACTGGGGAAGAGCTGCCTCCTCAAAGTAGTTGTTGTTGTTAGAGTTGTTGCCTTAGAGTAGGACCTGACTCATAGCGACCCCTCCTTGGGTTCCTAAGGCAGTATCACTACGGAAGTAGATTGCCCCATCTTCCTTCTGAGGAGTGGCTGGTGGGTTTGAACCACCAGTCTTCTGGTTAGCAGTCAAGTGCCTTAGGCACTATGCTACCAGAGCTCCCCCTCAAAGTAGAGGCAACCTTAATGACATGAACGGAGTAAAACTTTCATGACCTTCATTTGTTGACTCAAAATGAGAAGAAGCAGCTACAGGCATCCATTGATAATCAGAAAGTGGAATGTACAAAGTACGAATCTGGGAAAATTAGAAGTTGTCAATGAAATGGAACACATAAAGATAAATATTCTAGGCATTAATCACTGCTGTTGAGTCAGATCTGACTTGTAGCAACCCCTCCTTGGGTTTCTGAGGTGGTATCACTACAGAAGTAGATTGCCCAACCTTCCTTCCAAGGAGTGGCTGGTGGGTTGGAACCGCCAACCTTCTGATTAGCAGTCAAATGACTTAGGCACTAGAGCACTAGAGCTCCCATTCTAGGCATTAGTGAGCTCAAATGGACTGGTATTGACCAGTTTGAATTGCACAATAATATAGTCCACCATGCCGGGAATGACAAATTGAAGAAGAATGGTGACCCATTCATCATCAAGAAGAACATTTCAAGGTCTATCCTGAAATACAATGCTGTCAGTGATAGGATAATATCCATATACCTACAGGAAGACCAGTTAATACTACTGTTATTTAAATTTGTGCACCAACTGCTAAAGCCAAAGATGAAGAAACTGGAGATTTTTACCAACTTCTGCAGTCTGAAATTGACCAAACATGCAATCAAGATGTACTGATAATTACTAGTGATTGGAATGAGAAAGTTGGAAACAAAGAAGCATCAGTAGTTGGAAAATACTGCCTTAGTGATAGAAATGATACCAGAGATCCCATAATGGATATTTTTCAGTGACTTCATTGTGAATACGTTTTATCAACAACATAAACAGCAGCTATACACATGGACCTCCCCAGATGGAATACACAGGAATCAAGTCAACTACATCTGTGGTAAGAGGCAGTGGAGAAGCTTAATATCATCAGTCAGAACAAGGCCAGGAGCTAACTGTGGAACAGACCATCAATTACTTACATGCAAGTTGAAGCTAAAGAAAATTAAAACAAGTCCACAAGAGCCAAAATATGATCTAAATTATATCCCACTCAGATTTAGAGATGATCTGAAGAACAGATTTGACACATTGAATACTAGTGATCAAAGACCACATAAGTTGTGGGATGACATCAAGAACATCATACATGAAGAAAGCAAGTGTCATTAAACAGACAACAAAGGAAAAGGACCAAAATGAATGTCAGAAGAGACTCTGAAACTTGCCATTGATCAGAGAGTAGCTAAAGTGAATGGAAGAATGGTGAAGTAAAAGATCTGAACAGAAGATTTCTGTTCTTCTGACAGATCCAGAGGACAAAGTAAAGGACTATAATGAAATGTGCAAAGAGCTGGAGTTAGAAAATCAAAAGGGAAGAACATGCTCAGCATTTCTCCAGCTGAAAGAACTGAAGAAAAACTTAAAGCATTGAGTTGCAGTATTAAAGGATTCTATGGAAGAAATATTGAACGATGTAGGAAGCACCAAATGAAGGTGAAGGACTACATAAAGTACCAAAAAGAATT